TGCCACCCCAGGGGGCACAGGACCCAGGCTTTCGGGCCCCCACCCCCCTGCCCCAACGCCCCGGAGAACCCAGGCGTCCAGACCCACCCCACATTGTCCACGCACCAGCTGCACCTGGTTCCTGTTTGTTCTGGACAAGCCGTGACCCCCCGTGCACACGTGTGCACAAACCTACTGGGCTCAGCAGCGGGTGGGGGGACGGGAGAAACAACAGCTGGGCCCAGCCTGACCTGGCCCCACAGGGAACCCAGGTGTCCGAGCTCCCGGCCCTGCTCTGCCCCCAGCCCAAGAACGCAGGCATTGGGGCTCCAGGCCCCAGCCCCTCCTCCTCCCACAGACACAGAGCAAACCCAGGCGTCCAGGGCCAAACCCTCCCCATCCCATGCTGGAAGAGCCCTTAATTAGAGGCCTTTACTTAAGCAGCTAGGAGTGGGATCACCTGCCCTGTCTGGGCCGGAGCCCCGTCATCAGGCCCAGGAGCGCATGCCCCCGCCCCAGCATCCCCTAATGGGAAGCGACAGGGCCGTGCGGGCGCTGTGGTGCCGTCAGCCCGATGCGAGAGCATGAATGATGGCCCAGGTGGGGAGGGGGAAGGGGGGAATTGGGGCCAACCTAGGGCTGGCAGAGACACCTGAGAGCCAGCCGCATCCCAGGGGTCGTTACACCTATCCCAACACCCACCCCAGAGCCAGCTGCATCTCAGTGCAGGCCGGGGCGACCCTGCACACTGAGCCCCCGCCCCCCCCCAGCCAGCCGCAGCCCAGGGGCTATTATACCAGCTGTAACCGTACCGCACCCCAGAGCTGGCCGCATTTCAAGGGGCGCTATGCCCAGCCCTCGTGCGACACCCCAGAGCCAGCAATATCTCAGGGGACTTGCTATACCCTGACCTGATGTCCCACCTCAGAGCCAGCCATGTCTCAGGGCCATGTTACACCCAGCCGTAACATACTCCACCCCAGAGCTGGCTGCACTTCAGGGGCTGCTATACGCAGCCCCGATGCCCACCCCAGAGCCAGCCGCATCCCAGGGCCTCTGTTACACCTAGCTGGTCCCAAACTCCCAGCCTTGCTGAAGGGCCTAGGGGGGGGGGGGGGGGGGGGGGATCACCCCCTCCTCAAGAGGAAGGAGCTGAGGCCTGGGCCATACCCGCTGCACGTGGAGAACCGAGACGCCCCAACCCCGGCTTTCACCCCCCAGCCCTCCACATCCTCCCTGGAGACGCAGCAAGAACCCAGGTGTCTGGGCCGCACCTCAGTCCCCAGAGACCCCAGGGGCCGCCCCAGGGGTAGGGTGGGAGGAGGTGGAAGAGCATGGAGCTGCAGCCCCGCCTCACTGGCGCAGGGGAAGGAGCCGGGGCTGCGCTCGGAAGTGGGTCAGGCGGCGCGGGAGCAAGGCAGACGGTGGTGCCAAGGCAGGCGGGGGGGAAGCACCTGCAACCCCCCGGAGTCCTTACGTACAGGAAAACTGAGGCACAAGGCGCCGGGGGACCTGGCTAAGAGAGTGTCTGGACCGAGCCCCCCGCAGCCCCCACCCCCCTTGCACAGCCAGCATAGAAGCCAGGTGTCCAGGCTCCCAGCCCCCTGCTCCAACCTAGCAGACCACCCAGGCCGTGGTGGCGGGGGGGCAGAGAGCCCAGGTGTCCAGGCTCCCAGCACCTCCTGCTCCAACCCCCAGTACCCACTCCCTGCCCAGAGCCGGGAGAGCACCCAGGTGTCCGCAGGGAGAAGGGGTGGGGGCCATGGGAGGGCGAGGAGAGACAGGGCTGGGGCCTGCCAGACACTGCAGCCGCAGCCCCGCAGGAACCCGCGGGCCCCCCCCCCCCAGCCCCTGCAGAGGAACCCAGGAGTCCTGGTGCAGGCAGACCCCAAGACCCCAACAAACAACCCAGGCGTCCGGCCCCCCGGATCCCACACTGCCCCTCTGGGAGCAGGCGTCCGGGCCCGGCCCAGGGCACAGCACCCAGGCATCCGGGCGGGCGGGCCCTGCCAGGCCTCAGGAATGCAGACAAAGGCCCAGCGCCGCGCAGGGATTACGGCTGGCGGGGCAGGGCTGGACGCCTGGGTTTCCGCGCTGGGGGAGGGGCGGCCGCACCCTCCTGCCTCAGTTTACCGCACTGGAAGCCAGAGCTGGCCCAGGCTAAGGGACCCGAGCCCCCCGCCAGGCCCCTGCAGGGATGCACGCATGTGTGTACAAGTGCTTGCATATGCATGGACAGGCACAGGCACACACATGCACACAAAACACGCGTGCCAGGCCAGAGGCACAATCCCAGCTCTCCATCCCTTCCTCTGCAGCTGTTTGGGCATGCACACAAGTGTGTGTGTGTGTGCATGCGTACGGGTGTGTGTGCGTTCATGTGCGCACACGCATGTGCCTGTGTATGGGGCTATGTGCATGTGAGTGGACGCATCTATCCATGCACATGCAGAACCCAGGTATCTGGGGGACACATGCACAGACACACACAACCCAGGTGTCTGAGATGCACACACGCACAGAACCCAGGTGTGCAGGACACACATGAGCACAAACACACACACGCAGAACCCAGGTGTCCAGGGGTGCACCCAGCTGGGCAGCGGGTCCTACAAGAGGCAGCCCCACCCACCCCACATGCCCCCACCCACTGCACCCACACGTAGGCACACACATGTGCACCCTGGGACAGACAAGGGGGTTTCCCTCCCCAGAGATGAGTCATTTCCACCGAGAAGAGGCTCCGGGGAACACCGGGGGTCTGATCTACTGGGGCAGCCCTGCCCCCACCCGTGCCTCAGTTTCTCCACCTGGGGTAGCGCCCATTCGGTGCTTCTGGGCTGCGCCAGGCCCTGCTCTGGCAACGTCCTGTACACACTCCTGGCAGTTGGCCTGTACACACATGACCCAGATTTGCACATGGCCTGTGTGCACACACACACGCACATACAGGTGAACCGCAGCATTCACCTCCATGGCTTGGATTTGCACACACAAGTGTGCGCACAGTGCACAGGAAGTGCCCGAGTGCACCCGTGCATGCGCATACAACCACGCCACAGTACACGCTGCCATGGCAGCCATTTGCACACATGAGTGTGCATGCATAAGCACAGCTTGGTACACCCGTGCACGAGGGCTATCTGGCACATGGCTGCACATGCCACTGAGTGCACGCAGACACACGCACATGCAGCTCCCTGCACACACGCGTGCAAGCACACCCACCACCTCCTCAACAGGCAAACATGGGCACGCATGTGTTAAGGCACACCTAGGTCTGTGCACGGGCACAGCTCTATGCACACACGTCTACGCTCACACCTGCTGCTCCACACACCCCCGCCCCGCCCCGCCCC